ATTTAGGATTCTTTTAGTATTGACGGATACAAAATATGAATATACGGATATAAATATTGCAAAAAATATATACTGTGTGCGGTTAGGATAGGATGCTAGTAGGATATGGATATAAATTTCGATTGACCGTGAAAATGATTTATAATTAAAATTAATCAATTATCAGCTTTATGCCCAACAATTAAGGTTCAAATCCAAACCATTGTGTTACGAACAGCGAACAATACCGGTCCATATTATTTCTACCAAAGCTGTCGGATCAATCGTGAAATATATATCCTACATATTATTATTGCATTGTGACAAAAATAAATAGTTGTAAATTTTCGTATTATTACATTCAATGCAACTGTTGAAATCGCCGCCGATTGTCCTCGTGACGTTTATTGCGCAATTTATATTAATGAATGGGAGCTTTTATCTCCCACCTAGGTGCCATACAATAAAGCTAGGTGTTTGAATTATTTTATTGGAACTAGACTATATTCATATAATATTATTTACGGCTCAGCTTTAAATGTTGGAGGGGAGTCGACTTTTCATAGTTTCTAAGATGGAAAATTTACAAGTTATTGGTTTTTTACATAAGAAATATCTAAAGCTTAAATTTTCATATTTGTATTTAAAATTTTATTCACGTACCTACAGATAGACTTATATATATATATATATATATATATATATATATATATATATATATATATATATGTATATATGGATAGTAAATATGAAATTTTTATTTGTACATAACACTTTTAGTACGTATTTTATAGTTGTTATTGTAATAATTATGCATAACACATTTCCAACGTTAAAAAAGTATTGCAGCCGCGAGTTTCCATAATGAAAGTCTTGGTCCGGCGATTGTCCGGCTGACATTTATGGTGTTTTATATTTATAGGGGCTGGGGACAAAGTGGACTCTTATCTGAACACCACCGCGCTTTGTGACGGTAATGGGACGAGGAGATTTTAACTTAAACGACGGTTTTGCTGTTTAGAATTTTATAAGCTTTATAAGCTCGAAAACGTAAATAAGTAACGCTCGTGGTTCCCTCTGCGGTTTGATGTGTTAGATAAAATTAAAAGCTCAATTTTTTATGTATATTATTAGATTAACTTTTTATATTGCTATTAGAATTATAGTAAATCGATGGGGTGATAGGAAATTTTGCAGCTTCCTTTGGTATTCTGTTTTTTTATATGAAAATAGGGACTTATTGTACACATATGTAACATTAATTGTAGCTATATATTTATTTATGTCTTCTCAAACAACTTTCTCTGGCTTATTTACATAAGAACAGGTAATATGCATTTCATCCATTGTCATAAAAAAATAATATATTCGCCCTTCGCACCAATCCCATTCCGGGGGGTCGCAATCCCGGGAATTGACCCAGCCATTGTACTGACCTATCATTGTCGCACGTATCATTACGCAACGCACAAAGACTAGTGAGAAATACTGAACAAAGTCAGCGTTTGTCCCCTTACGCGACATTTTGGGCGCATTAGAGCGTCGACTATAAAACTTTATTTACGGCCTCGCTATGAATGCTCCCTTTTTATTATGTTAATTCAACGTGCTACGGCAACCGAAGGGGCTAATTTACGGTCCTGCGGTGACAGACGGCCGGGCTCGAGTGTGAAACTTGGCGAGATGAATTTCTACATCGAACGATCCCATATTACAGCACTTTAAAATTTTAAAACCACTCTAATAATACTTGAATTGTATTTTAAGTTTTTAAATATTTCAAACGCTCAGTTATTTATTAATGCAAATAAAAAAAGCTCGGCAGACTGATCCCATGAATATGTTAGTGCGACGCCTACTTTATATTTTTTTATTGTTTGCGTCAAGATAATACCGTGACGATAAAACGAAAAGCAATCATATAAAAACAACGTTGTTCCGTATCGCAACATAAACTAGTATAATCTAACGTTTTCCTCAACGGAATCGTAAGCTTACAACGTTCGGCCGATCAAATCAATTCGGGGGAGTGTTCTCGAGACGGAATCCTGGATTATCGTAGAATTATCCAAGCGACGCACATCTCTAATTGTGAAGCGTTCGGGATCGTGCTCGTAATGACCCCGATATTGCCTTTCATACATAAATAGCCGGATACGCTATGATTTGGCTACATTATTAAGAATTATTCATAGGCATAAATTCTCTGTCGCTTTTATGTTATAGAAATATTTCTATATTATCGGCGGATGATGTTATTTTTCCAATGCAGATAATCATTGATATGTATTACGAAATATGTAAGCGGTAGTATTAAATACGCATGGTTTCAATTGTTTTTTTTTTTTTAAATGGCTTATAGTTGCGTTCACAGACGCAATCCATTCTGCCAGTGTCACGTTTTGTGAGGAAGACACGAATGAGATTGAGCGGTAATTTTGAAATTTGGTAACTTTATTGTGGAATTAAAACTATAAATGAATGATCGGTCTACAAGAGTAACCTATAACAATAGAAAAATAATTACGTAATACAAAAATGACACAATAATTGAGAATGAAAAAATATATACATAATGTTTCAATTGATTGATGTTTAGACTAAATGAAAATATCAAAAATATGAGGGTTGTTACTATCTATAGTACAGGTAAATAAAATGGAAGTGTCTGTTTGTAATGTCAAAATAACAGCGTTTTACTAAATGCATATGAAAGTACATATATAGGGGTAGGTACTAATAAGAAAAGAACATTTTTTGAAAAATTTTGTCTGTTTGTCCCTGCTAATCTTCAAAACGGCTGAACCGATTTTGATAGTACTTCACTGGAACATAGTTACTTTTATGTTAGAAGAAGAATCAGCGTTCCACGCAAATATTAAAACCCATGAAATTGTGAACAAAATTGTAGCTAGGGACGTACTCGAGCGAAGCAAGGTAAATCACTAGTTTCTTATATGTAATGCTGAAAAAATCACCCTTTAAAATATCAATATTTTGCCGATTTTGTCTTTAAATTATTTATAGGTTAGACTTAGGTATATAAAATGCTTTAATAATATAAAGAAATAGTCTATTCCTTGCAGATAATTAAATGGTGAAAACGTATATATTGTAACTTCACGTTTCCGAAATATTCGAGACTCAGAACTGCGTCTGTACACTTAGTAATTTAAAAGCGTGACATTGCTAAATAACAGTGCTCGTAGGAACGCAAGCAAATTTTAATATGAAAGTTAGATAAAAGTATAAAAGTTACTATCTACTGCCAGCAGTTGCAACGTTATTGAAGATCTTGCTAGCGAGCCGCCTTGGATCTACGAAATGCGCTCACGGTCTTTATTAACCGACTTTAAAATATAAGAAAGGAAGTTTTTAAATAATACTATTTTTTTGGATATATAACGATTATTTTTATTTGTTTCCGACGTTTCGGTTGCTTAACAGCAAACTTGGTGACTGGATAGACTACCTAGCTCTAACTTTGAACTCTCAAAACTCATAATTATTACAGACAATGTCTCACAAAATTGTACAATAATATGGAAGAAAAGGGAAATAGCACTGGAGTATCTAACAATATTATTTATTTTAATAAATAATCATAATTGAGATTGGGAAAAATAAAACCGAAAAGAAAAAAATCGAAAAATAGTTTTATTTATTTAAAATGTCAAATATTCACGCACATCTAAGAAGGTAGTATACATAAGTGCTTATCCGTATATTACTTTATTTTTGTGCTTATTGTGCTTACGCTACACGATATCTTCACCGGACTAAAATTCATTCATTCTTCATGAAAATCGTTTCAAAACCGGTTTTATTAACTTAATGGATAACAAATAAATTTTTAAATAATATTCCGTTCAATGTCGAATGAAATGAAGAATTTTAATGTAATTTTTCAAACAAAAATATTATGCTCGAAATTCTTTTTTTGTGTATTTATTTTACTGGTACATTTCACATTATTAGGTATATGTATGATGGGTATGCAACGACCCCATTTTAGAAAGCCATAAGCGGAACAAAGTTGTTTTATTTATTTTTTAATCTACCTATATCTCAGTTTGTAGTGACCCTACTCGCTGGTCGTGGGTTCGAGTCCTGTAAGAGGCATTCATATGTGCGATGAGCACGAACGTTTGTTCTCCAGTCATTGGTGTTTATATTTATAATATGTATATATTTAAGGTTATATATATGTAGTGTATCAACTATCTGGTATCCATAACACAGGTTTCGTAGCTTACCATGGAACTAGATGGTGATGTGTGTTGATGTCTCAACATATTATTATTATTATGGCCAATAATAGTGGAGATAATAGGAAATGCTCTCTCATTTCTATCTCAAATCTGTTTATTTAGTTTTTTATTATACAACGAAGTACTTTACTAGAAGTACTTTAGTTAAAATTACAGGAAAAGATAGTCCATCTTTAGATTTTTGTAATATTGTCATAGATGCCGTTTTATAATTCCTTATCAAGTTTCTTTAATCATAATAGCTTTTTGAGTATCTCTCATTATAGATCACAGTTTGTTAGGTTGTATTCAATTTGTATTGTAATTCACATTCTAATCCCGTTCAAATTTAACTCGGGCGGGCTGCGACAGTTGCAATTTTATTACCATCGTTACGTCCCCGCGCTTAGGGTAGCCATTTTTACTAGAATTTCTAGGGAAAACAATCTCAGTGGCTGTCTAGAAAACAAAGTAATATCTTATATCTTCTTATTGATTCAGATTCTGCATTCGTGTAATGCGAGTACCATTTTAATTATATTACAACGCTTCATTCTTCAGATATAATAACAGAGTAGTACCCCTAACCTACAAGGCAGCGTTCGCTATTTTCAGAGATATTCATTTTGAAGGTATTTGTAAAATGAAACTGTGCGGTGACTTATTTTAACATTTGACAATTTCCTGTCTGCGATTATTCATATTTTAGTTCATTCCTTTTTCTTGCGAGGCAGCGTTAAGACGGCTTATAAATGTTCTATAGTCGTCATAATGCCGAAACGTACGGCTGAAGAAAAGATTGAGAAATACCAGAGAAAAATTAGGAAGTTAAATAAACGTGTTAGAAGAATAGTGATGTCGTCAGAATCGTCGGACGAAAGTAAAAGTAAGAAATAATTTTAATAATTAACAAAGTGATTGTCACTTTGAGCCTGGGGGTAGGTTTATCCTACACGAAGGCTATATCTTTTAGCACATTAAGTCATACCTGGGGGTTGGCATTGTCTAACACGAAGGTAGAAATGACTAATTTGATTATTAATCCTTGGTAAAAAGTTGAAGCAATATTGCTATTATTATTTTAACGATATATATATATATATATATATATATATATATATATATATATATATATATATTTATTTTATATACCTTATGGTAATATCACATGATATTAAAAGTACGTATTAACACGTATTATGCCTGGGGATTGGCTAAGTCTAATACAAAGGCTCACGATATCTGTGCTAAAAATAAGAATTGACATATTTGTTTATTCTTAACACATGAACATCCTCCGGTAGTGGAGTCAGTGGTATCGGTTCCGGAAGATTTACCGGAAATAGAGAACAAGGAAGCGATGGAGCTACTTACCAACGACATACAAGTATCAAATTTTCCTGAATTAGAACCAGAATTGCTTAGAGCACTAGGAGAGGACAATATAGAAGAACCCGAATATGGCGAAAGTATTCATGATGATTTGGCTAAGCGTTGGTTGCCTATAATTAAAAAAGGTTTGTCTAAAGATATTAAAGAAAAATTGAACAAGGAATGCCTTGTCCCAGAAAATTTTAAGCTTCTCAGGCCATCAACTTTAAATACTGAGATAATTACAGCTTTAGCAGAGACGGTGAAATCCCGAGATAAGAAATTAAAAACCAATCAACAGCAGCTCGCTATGGGCATAACAGCTGTAAATAAATCTTTACACTTGTTGCTGTCAAACGGTGACAAAGCAGAGGCAGTAAATCACCTCAGTAACTGCTGTCGAATTTTATAAGACCTTCATGCACTTGAAACAAAATGGCGTAGAATACTGGTTACGATGTCACTAGACAAATCGTTTCAACAATTTGTTCAAGACTCGGAAAGAGATGATACATTATTTGGAAATAATCTATCGGAGAAAATCAGAAATTCAAAATGTTCTGAAAAACTAGGTTCACAATTTAAGAAAACTCAACTACCTAAATCTTTTCCTACTCAAATACACACCCGACCAGTAACAACTGGTCAGGGAAACGGCTTCAGACCTCGTCCCTCGACGAGCCGGGGAGGGGGACGAGGTGGCCAGAAGAGAACAGCTCCACCTCCACAGCGGCAACCACCGTCGTCAACGGCGAGGTCTTCGTACCAGAGCACGAGCAGGAGTCGTGCCCCAACGCGGCGATAATCCAGGTACATGCAGGCCGAGTCAAAACTTTTTATAATTGTTGGTGTAATATTACAAAAAATCAATTAATCTTAAATTGGATTAGACATGGTTACAAAATACCTTTCGATAAAAAAAAAAAAAAAAAAAAATAACACAATTATATGTTCCTAAGCTTCCAGTGCTAAATGATAAAGAATTTTCTTTTATGAATAATTCTATATCGAAATAAATTAATTTAGGAACAATTTCATAATGTTCATTTAAAACTGGTCAATTTATATCTAAAACTTTTTTAGCTCCAAAACCTAATGGAGATAAAAGATATATCCTTAACCTTAAACCTCTTAATAAATTTATTTCAAAAAGTCATTTTAAAATTAAAATTAATTTTAAAAAACAATTATTTGGCCACGATTGACCTTAAAGAATCATACCTGTTAATACCTATACATAGCTCACAAAAGAAATATTTACGTTTTCAATTTAGACATAATAATAAAAATATAGAAACATATGAGTTCAACTTCATGCCGTATGGACTGTGCTCAGCCCCTCTTGTTTTCACTAAAATAATGAAAACAGTTATTACTCGACTAAGGTCCCAAGGTTTTAAATCCGTGTTATGTTTGGATGATATTTTGTGTGTAGGCGAGAGCTATTTAAATTGTCAAAATAATGTCAATGAAACAATAAAATTGTTATCTTGCCTAGGTTTTATCATTAATTATGATAAAAGTTCACTAAGACCTAAGCAAGTTTGTAAATTCTTAGGTTTCATATATAATACTATTAATATGTCATTATCATTACCTACAGACAAACGCGATAATATTTATAAGTTAGTAAATAGATTTTATAAAGTACCTACTTGTACTATACGTGATTTTGCTAAACTAATAGGAGTTTTAATAGCTGCTTGTCCAGCCGTAAAATACGGATGGATGTACACAAAACTTTTAGAAAGACAAAAATATCTTTTTCTTTACAAATATAAAAATTACGATTCAAGAGTTAAATTACCTAAAATAATTTAAAAAGATTTAAAATGGTGGATTGATAATTTTTATATTACATACAACAATATTCAGAGTAATCAAAATTATATTTTAGAAATTTTTAACGATGCGTCAAGATCCGGTCGGGGCGCATATTGTACTAATATGCGTGCAAATGGCGGATGGACAAATAAAGAAAAAGAAAAACATATTAATTACCTTGAATTATTAGCAGCATTTTTATCATTCAAATATTTTGCAAAATCACATAATAATTGTAGTATTCTTTTACGTATTGACAATACCACGGCTCTTAGCTATATCAATCGTATGGGGAGTATACAACATCCGCATTTGAATGATTTAGCAAGAAATATTTGGCAATGGTGCGAGGCGCGTAATATAATATGGTTACATGCGTCTTACATGAATACTCGCGATAATAAAGAAGCTGATTTTGAATCTAGAAAAGCAAATCCCGATACAGAATGGGAATTATCAGATAAAGCCTTTCAGAAAATTATTAAAAATTTAGGGAAGCCGGAAATTGATTTATTCGCCTCTCGCACCAACGCCAAATGTAACATTTTCATGTCATGGAAACAGGATCCAGACGCCATAGCTGTAGATGCATTCACAGTAAACTGGAAAAAATATTTTTTTTTTACGTTTTCACACCGTTTTCAATGATAATGAAATGTTTACAAAAAAAAAAATTTTGATGATAAGGCAACTGGTATATTCGTTTTTCCTTACTAACCATCACAACCATGGTTCCCTCTATTACAAAGCATGATAGTGTCTGAAGTTCTATATTTTAAAAAGGATGATAAAATTTTGATGTCTTGTTATATCGGGATTCACCCATTACACCAGCAGCTTCCCTGGCTGCAGCGAAGCTCTCAGGCTAACGTTCCTTCGGCAAGGTATTCCTCCAGAATCCTTCGATTTAATGTTATCCTCATTAGCTGACAATACAAAAAAGCCATATAATGTTTGTTATAAACTCTGGTGGGAATTTTGTTATTGTATTAATATATGTCCTTTAGACGATTCTGTTAGTAAAGTTTTATGCTTTTTAACGTGTCAATTTAATAAAGGTGCCTCGTATGGTACAATTAATAGTCACCGATCCGCGCTGTCATTATTATTAGGTAGCAGGATCGGAACAATTGAATACATAAAACGATTTTTAAAAGGAGTATTTAGATAATAACCTATTAAACCTAAATATTCTGATACATGGGACCCGCAAATAGTATTGCAATGGTTATCAAAGTTAGGCGCGAACACAGAATTATCAATGGAATTACTTAACAAAAAACTTGTTACTCTACTTACTCTTTGCACGGCACAAAGAGTACAAACATTGTCATTAATAAAATTGAATAACATTAATTTTTATGCAGATGGAATTAAAATAATTATCACCGATCATATTAAAACTTCTGCAATAAATAGACAACAACCACTTCTTTGGTTACCGTATTTTAAAAGCAATCTATCTATTTGCCCAGCTAGTGCTATTAAAGATTATATTTCCCGAACAAAAAGCTTAAGAAAAACTATTAATGCTCATAATTTAATTTTAACTAGTAAAAAACCATATAAACCTGCTTCATCCCAGAGCATTAGTCGTTGGATAAAACAGGCGCTTTCTGAAAGTGGCATTGATATTTCTGTGTTCGGGGCCCATAGTACGCGACATGCGTCCACCTCATCAGCTAAAGCTGCAGGTGTGGGTATAGAGGTGATTAGAAAAACAGCTGGCTGGACCTCTAATTCTATTGTTTTCGCAAAGTTTTATCAATTACCTATCATTAATAATAACTCAAATTTTGCACAATCTGTATGCTTAAAAGATTAGAAATTATGATTTTTTTTTGTTTCTTTATATATTATGAATATGTACAACATAGAAATAGCAATAAACGATTGTAACCCTAAGAGGACGAAGTATTACAATGTATATTTGGAACTTAATTTAAAAAAAAAAAATGTTTCATTCTTGCAAAACTTTTTTATCTCTAAATAACTACTCTGTTATTATATCTGAAGAATGAAGCGTTGTAATATAATATATGATCAAACGAACTTACCTTAAGTGAAGTTCGATCATTATTATATGAAACGCTTCATTCGAAGATATAATCACCCTCCCTCCCACATACCTACTTTATCTATTAAATAAAAGTTTTGCATAATCTCTGAAATAAATGAACTAAAATATGAATAATCGCAGACAGGAAATTGTCAAATGTTAAAATAAGTCACCGCACAGTTTCATTTTACAAATACCTTCAAAATGAATATCTCTGAAAATAGCGAACGCTGCCTTGTAGGTTAGGGGTACTACTCTGTTATTATATCTTCGAATGAAGCGTTTCATATAATAATGATCGAACTTCACTTAAGGTAAGTTCGTTTGATCATATATAATATAACAATAAATTGTGATGTCACGAGCTATATAGAAACAAACAGATAGCTTTATCATCTTTAATTTATGATCGTTGTGTGTGCAGGGGAACTTACGGTTATTTGAGAAGAGTACGGTATGTAAAGATCATAGCGCTTAGAACTCTGTCCTTTCTCCCTCATAGGGTCGGAGAAGGCCATCGCGGTGAACGAGATTATGTTACTAATTGGGACGGACGTAATCCTCGGGAGGTCATGGGTTCGATTGTCGACGAGAAATTCTTCGAAATATTATAATCAAAATATTCTGAATAAGAATTAAATTTGGTTTCACTATCTATATTATGTATATCGTGTTCTATATGGTTTACTTCATATAATAAATATCACACAGCCTTATCTAAAAATCGTACAATAATAATGTTATCGAATAGTTTATCTACTCAATAAAGCTCTATCACTGATTAACAGATAAAGCACATTCTAAGCCGTTGAATCTAGATTTTTTTTACATAAAAATTATGTACAATTTTGCTCACTAGGTACTATATTATATATATATATTACTAGCATTGCCCGCGGCTCCGCCTGCGTTCAGGTGACCAAAAACCAAATTCTTAGGTTTTACAGATTAGTATACTCTTACATGGCAGTTTTTGTATTTTTTCTCAGAAATGAGACATTTTTCCGCGGTAAAAAGTATCCTATATGTGATGATACCCGGATAACCAGCTATACCGAATTTCATCAAAATCCCTCTAGTGGTTTTTCTGTGAGGCGATAACAGACAGACCGACAAAAATATTTTAAAAATCATATATTCGGCCTCTGTATCGATAATAATGTTTATTTCAATAAGATTTTCCAAAAAACATTTAATGTACAGATTCGGCTTAGTTACAATTTTATTATATGTATAGTAATGTATATATATGGACAAGAATGAAGAGGTCGTAAATCTGAAACAGGACTGTCGCAGTATTTCACGCGGATGGCCACTCTACACGTGCCCCACAAATCCTTAACGCAAACACGGAATTTAATAAAATCCGCATCGAAACCCGCAGCTTTTTCAACGGTTATTATGTAACGGATATGCGACAATTGATATTGCGAATTTACGACCGAAAGCGGTCGAAATATGATTTGTATGACGCGAGAAGTACTTATAATGCATGTTCAGTGAACTCTTTTATCTTCAATGAATTACTGATTTTATGCGTCAAAGTCATGAGCCCAGTTTACCTTGTTTTTGAACGATTTCTGAAAAGGAGTAAGTGTTTAATTACTTCTTATGTACATACATACATACGTTTATATTATACATATATATATATATATATATATATATATATTTACGTGGTAGCTTAGCTAATTTACAAATCGATTTTATTGTTTTTGATATACAAGAGAATTGTATCTTTAGAGTGGCTTTTTAAGGTAATTAAAAATTCAAATAAAATTTAAGATGAAGTTAACCCCAAAATAGAAATAATTGCTTTATAAGTTAACAATTAAATAATATAAAAAAATAAATGAAAACAGATTTATCTAGAACTAGACCCACCGTCTTTATGACTCTATATTATATATGTTTTTATA